TCTCATTTTGGAGCTTGACTTTGTATTGTTTCCCTAAGGATTGGTGGAGATATTGGAAAGGTTTTCTTGCTTTCCAGCTCTGCACCAAGGGGGACTTGAATGATTGACATAAACGGTAATGACGCTGTTGATCCTTGAGAGTTTGGAAATTCTTAAAGTTGAAGGCCAACATAGTAGGGTCAAAAGCCATTGCGGTTCTCTACACCCTTGCCCTATTTTAGATGTTTTTTTTTTTTTTTTTGAGAAAAGAAGGAGAAGAAAAACTGAGGCAGCAAGGGGTTCCTGCCAATAAACAAGCATAACTACAAGAGATTAGAGCGCAGAAAATTTACAAGGTCCCTGCATCCATGTAATCAAGCATAGAATGTCCTCTAAACAAAATATCTTGGGTGCAGAACCAGTGAACCCTAATCCTAACAAAAGGAGAGCAAGTGCCCCGAAAAACCCTCACATTCCTTTCTTTCCAAAGAGCCCAAATATAGAATAGGAATGAGATTGAGAAATTTTTTCTTAGATTTACAAGTGCAAATATACGACCTGAAACAATTTGAATCAAATTGAGGAGATATCCCACAGGTTTTCTCACCACTGAGCACCATAGAAGAAGATGGGTGGGGAATTCCAACTTGAGAAAGCATAAAGGGCATTGACAATGATCTTGGTGAGAGGTTACTGTGGACTATCATCCTTTGCTGGGTTGATTGGTACTTGGAAGAGTCATCAAGTTCATAAACTGCTCAAACTCCCAACTGGTTTCGAATATGGACTGTCCTACTGCAGACATGTCTTCATATGTATTTTTTTCTGTGTTCCCTGGATACCGACGTTGTAATTGATTTGTACCAACTTTTCTGAGTATGGTTCATATGCTATTATCAAAATCTGCAAATTTTGTCTAGATAAACTTCTATTGCACCATGTTAAAAGAAGGAAACATAAGTTAATTCTGTTTATCCTGGTTGGCAGTGCAGTATAGCATGGTCTATGGCTTGAGACTTAGTTGTCCATGCCTTGCATTGAGCTGGGAAGGGACTTTCCTAAACCATAGAAAACTGGCATTTTTCTAAAAAAATTCTTGAAGCATCAATCAGATAATAGGTAGCTGGTAGGAGGCAATGTTGTAAGATAGAAATCTCCCTTTTACTTTTCTTTTTTTGTTTATAACCACTATTTTTGTGTATAACCAATACTTTTTCGTTAGATTTGAAGTTTCCAAATGTTTAATCCGCATGTTCCTTTTTTGCTGCCTTTTATTTTCATAAAAAATGAATTTTAACATGAAATTTTAGTTGTCGCTGTGAAAATAGATGCAGGTGTTAAACGTATTGGAATATCTTTTTCACATCTCTTAGGGAAATATCTGATGTGAAATTGCTGAAGTGAAGCTTTTTTTTTATTCCACTCTCATATTTTAAGTGCTTTGACTTTTACTGTGCAAAATAGCATCTTTCAGTTCTGATTTGATTATTTTTGGTGCAGATCTGGCCTCCCAAGAGTGTGAAAGATTCAGGATCTCGTTTTCACTCGCAACTGAAGGAAGCTATTTTGCAGGTGAGGTTTGTTTAAGCTTTGAAATTGATTTAAGCAGTTCTCATTTTAATGAGTCAAGCTTTGGAAGATGCCCTTAATTGATGTAGGACAAATTAGGGATA